CACTCAGGGAGGGCGGCCGGGCCGCTGCCAGCCCCAGGTGCACACAGCCCCCCAGGCCCTGCGGCTCCAGCCCCAGCTCTAAACCTGACACAAAACCTCCTCTGGAGGGAACACACCTGGGTCCCAGCCCCGGAGACACCAGTGATGGGATCTGACCACAGGCCGGTAGGAAGTGCGGGGCGTCTGGCACAGAGCCCGAGCTCCGCCCTCGTTAGTGGTCCTCTAGAGGGCCACGCGGCCCACGGGCCAGTGAGGTGTGGGTGCTGTGGCCAGGAGCGCGGGCTGCAGGCCAGCCTGCCGGGGATGCCGGGGCGGGCCCCCTCACCACCGTGGAGAGGACAGGGAGTGGCTGGTGGCGGTGGGACGCGAGGAGCAAACAGCCGTGTCTGTCCGCACACACACAGAGCTCGGGCTCCGCCAGCTGTGGGCCCACCGTGGCCACCACCACCACCCGCTGCCCACCAGGGCCTTGGGCCCCTGCTTCAGGGCCAGCCCGAGGCGTGCTGACAGCCACGCTTCCCGCTGGGCCCCTCCTCCACCGCTGTTGTTAGTTGAAAGTCAGCAAAGCCACCTCCACGCTCCTCCCTGCTGCCCCACAATTACGAGGCCTGAAAATACCACCACCCTGGCAGGAGGACGAGGAAGGCCGTCTGGTCTAGGGCCCTGGGATCGGACAGTGGCAGGTTATCGTGGGTCCCCACACTCTAGAGAAGGTGACGGCAGCTTGGGGTTTCCTGATGCTGGCTGGGCAGCAGAAGGCAGGCCAGGGCGGCTCATTCCTTGCCTGCATCAAAGCAGAGTCCCTCCCATGACACCAGGTTACCCAGTGCCGGCCGCCGCCGAAAGGACCCACGGGGGCCCCTCCAATGGGAAGCCGCCTCCAGACGCACCCGCCTTCCATGGGAGACCAGGCCTGACGCTGGGCTCATTTCAGAACCAGGCTTCACCAGCAGTGAGCACCAAGCTTTGGTGCAAACCCCAAGACTATTTGGCACAAGAAGGTTCTAGCTGGAGGTCTCAGGGCAGTCCACACTGGCCTTTCTGCAGAAGAGCAGGGGGCTCAGGTGCCCTCGGAGGAAACAGAGTGAGCCCCTCTCAAGAGGGAGACTTGTAGACTTTTTTAAAATTATTTCAGAATATACATAACACGAATTACGCCACCTCAGCATTTTTATGTGCACAGTCCAGGGGCGTCCGTGCATTGACAGTTGTGCAGCCGTTCCCTCCAACCGTCCCCAGAAGGTGGTCGTCTTCCCAGACGGAGCCTCCGTCCCCAGTCAGCAATGTCTCTCCTCCCCCTGCCCCCGGCACCCTACTGTCCGCATGGACCAGACTCCTCTGGGTGCCTCACATAAGTGGATCGTTCAGGATTGGTCCTGTGCCGGGCTGATCTCACTCAGCACCACGCCCTCCAGCCTCGTCCACGTAGTAGCAGGTGTCGCGATTCCTTTCTTTTTAAGGCCGAATAATGTTCCACGGTGTGGACGGACCACCTCTCGCTTGTCCATTCACCTGTCGGTAGACGCTGGGGCTGCTTCCACCCCTTGGCTATTGTGAGGAGCGCTGCCGTGAGCACGGGTGTGCAAATACCTCCTCAAGATCTGCCTTCAGATCTGTGGGGTACAGACTGGAGTTGTGGGATCATCTGGTAATTCTCTTTACTTTTCTGAGGAACTGCCATACTGCCTTCCACACCGGCAGTAATCTGGCTTTTAGGAGACGCTTTGTGGGGACGCCCGGGTGGCTCAGTCGGTGAAGCGTCTGCCTTCGGCTCAGGTCATGATCCCGGGGTCCTGGGATCGAGCCCCGCATCGGGCTCCCTGCTCAGTGGGGAGCCTGCTTCTCCCTCTCCCACTCCCCCCTGCTCGTGCTCTCTCTCTCTCTCTCTCTCAAATGAATAAATTAAAAATCTATTAAAACAAAGAGACACTGTTTGGTGACACACTGGGGACTGTTTGGGCGCATTATATTGCATGTGCTATGATAGCGATGTGAGTAGTGACAGTGAGTGAAAACACATCGAGTGCCCACTGCTCTGGGGGCACCGGGACGCTGGGTCCGCCAGGTTTGTTAAGGATTCATGCAGGGAGGGAGCCCCCACCAGGGAAGGGTGTTCTTTCCAGGAGAAAAGTAACCCATGATTGTGCATGCTTGGGGGCACCTGGTGCCGGCCACCACGGTCCTGCCCAGCAAAACACAGACTCGCGCTCATGAGCTCCTGCTGACACCCTGCTGCAGGGAGGGGGCCCCGGGGAGACAGGGCAGGGCATGTATGCTGTGCTCTCCGCGGAATAGAAGCCCATGGCCCTCCCCGGCCCCAGGAGTTCAGCCTAAGAGAAGTAACTCCCAGCTCCTGCATTGACAGGCCTGCCCTCCCCGCCCACTTCCAAAGCACAGGGGGTCCCAGCAGGAGGGGAAGGGCCTGCAGGGGCCCAGTCTCCTCCCAGGCCCCACTCGCTGGGGCAGCGACCTGGGAAAGTGGGACCCCCAGGGCCTCCGTCTCCCCAACTCCAGACAACGCCAACCGCCAGAGGCCGGGCACAGCTTCTTACTCTTTTGTGTCTCTGCAGCGGAATTCTGTGGAACTCTGTTCCTGGAAATGATGAACGGGCACGTCCTGCACAAGATGCTCTGGGTCACCATGGGCAGGAACGCGACAGCGTCTCTTGAGACCCGAGCGGGGCAGATTCCCCCGCGGCTGGTGGGACCCGCGCTTCCCAAGCTTACCAGAAAACGGGACATTTGCTTTTCCCTGGCTGACCACCCCGCCCTCTGCGCTGCGTGACCCTGCTCTGGAAGCCAAGCGGGGTTTAGGAGCACGGCCTCCTGTCTCACAGCTGGGGCACCGTGGACACCTGCCAAAGCCCCTGGGGCCGGGCCCACTGGCAGGGGCTTCTATCAACAGAAGCTTATTCTCCCCCAGTTCTGAGGCCTGAGCCCACAGTCAAGGTGTGGACAGGGCTGTGTTCCTTCCGAAGGCCCCACAGAGGGTCCGGGCCTTTCCAGCTTCTGGAGCTGCGGCGATCCCAGGTGCATTCCTCCAAATTCTGGCTCTGTCCTCACGCGGCCTCCTCCCTGGGCCCCCTCTGCGCCCTTTTTCTCTTAAAAGGACATTAGACATTAGTCCCTGCTCCCGTGTGCCTCATCCGAACGAATCACAGCACCAAAGGCCCCTGTTTCCAAATAAGGTCACATTCAGAGGTTCTGGGGGGACATGGGTTTGCGGGGACGCCATCCAACCCAGCGTGCGGCCAGCCGCTCACCGTGAGACGTGAAAGCGCTGACCGCGGTGAGCTGTCCCGGGACTGCAGGCGGGCGTGGGCAGGGCCGGAGGGGCCGCTGTGCACAGGGCGTGCCCCGCAGAGCCCGCCGGACACCCGCCTCACTCGGGCCACTTCAGACCTGCCACCAGAGAGAGGCAAGAAAGTCCACTCCTCCCACTTTGCTTCAACCCCCACAGAGTTTCAGCAGACCTACAACCGTGGTCCACATTCCACTGTCCTGGGTGCAGAGCCTCCCTGAGGAGGAGCGGTGCCCTCTCTGAGACCCACCACCTGCCCTGGGACACGCGGGGGCCGCGGCGTTCGGGCTCTGCCCGCCACTGCCGCAGGAGGGCCATGCCAGAGTGGCCACCCAAGCCCCTCCTTTCCCCGCCCCGCCCCCAGGACGGGAGCCCAGTGGCCCAGGACCACCGTCTGGCTGGAGGGTGGGCTCCCTCCCGGCTCAGGGATGAATCCAGAGCTAGTGTAGGAGAACCCCTAGCCTCCATCCAGGATGCTGACCATGACACATGGGTAGCAAGGCCGCCTGGGAAGGCCCAACACATCTGGGCATGGGGACACCCCCCAAGACGCCCCCCATAGGGAGAATGAGGCTGCCCTCCGTGGGACACGCTGGAGGCAGCTGCCCCCCTCCTTGCTCCATCCTCCACCCCGATGTCCGCCTCCCCAGCGAGGAGCAGGTTAACCGTCTGGAATGTCAGGCTTCGCTCGGGGCACGGGGCTCCCATGTCCCCCTGTGGGGGCTGGCCGGCCAACATGGGTCAGCAGGACACATTCTTCTGTCGGGGACACCCCTGTAGCTCTCGAGTCGCCGGTGACGGCTCGCACAAGGGAGTGCGTCAGAGGATTTAAAACGTGGGATCCAGCAGATTCAGGACTCCGACGTGGTGGCCTTTACCATCACACGTAGCCACATGGACACTGCCTGTGCTGCCCCCCCCCCATGCACCGTGCCCCGAAGGGACCTGCCGCGGTCTGGGTGACCCTGCCCATGACCACAGCCACCACTGTCCTGTTGGCGCCCGCCCGTTACTGTTACTCAGCAGCCCGAGCTTGCAGAGGGCTCGCCGCCGGCCAGGCCCATCCTCGGCGCCACCTGAAGCCACTCCACCCGCCCCCTTCCTGCAGTGAGTGGGTGGGGTGACCGCGGAGGAGCTGATGCCCGAGACGGAGAGTAAAACAGGGGAAAGACCAGCCTTTCAGGGAGGCCGGGCACGGTGGGCGGCCCCTGGGTAGGTGGTGCCTGCAGGAAGGAGAGGGGTAAACGTGTAGGTGATGTCTGTCCCCTGTGCAGGACAGATGGCCACCCACGGACACGTCGTCCACAGACCCGGGGCTGGCATGGGGCTCTCCCACCCTCAAGGACACAGCTGTCCTCCTGCTGATTCTCACCTGTGGTTGCCCAAGATCATGACCCAGGAAGTGTTCCTGACGCCGGTGGCCAGCCCGCACCCACCCGGCCCCGGAGCCTCCCCTCTGGGGCCTGCCAGGAACTGTCCAGGCCCCGGGGACACAGGGACCTTCCTGTTCCCACTTAGAGGAAGAAGGCCTCCTATTGTCCTGGTGGGGGAAGCCCCCTGAGGGTCTGGGGACGAGCCACGGGGGATTCGGGGAACCGCGTGGCAGGGGGCTCGGACGGTGCTGGCTTGCGAGGCCCCCCCCGCCCCCATATAAGGGCCCGAGCCCGCTGCCTGGCCTTCCTCACTCCCGGGAGCTCAGCGCAACCACGGCCGCAGCCATGAAGTGCCTCCTGCTCGCCCTGGGCCTGGCCCTCGTGTGTGGCATCCAGGCCATTGTCGTCCCCCAGACCATGGAGAACCTGGACCTCCAGAAGGTGAGGATGGCTGGGGTGGGGGTGAGCTGCAGGGCGGGCAGGGCAGCGGGGCCGCAGCAGGGTACACGGGCAGGGTACATGAGCAGAACCATGACATCGGGAAACCCCCACCCGGCTCTCCGTCTTCAGGGCGGCTTGTCACTTGGTTTCCCAAGATCCAGGAGGTTCTAGGGAACTCGTATGAGGTGTATTCAGACCCACCTGGGGAACACAGGCGTGTTAATTCAAGTGTGGAAATTGTGCAGCCCAGTGTCTGGTCGATGGCCGAGGGTCGTCCAGAGCTCACTGACGGCCACCCCAGTTAGACTGGGCCCCCGGCCAGGGTGGGAAGGTGAGCCCCCCGTGGGCCGGGGCCCTTCCCGCCCCTGATGGCAGCTCAAGGCCCCCTCCCCAGGTGGCTGGGACGTGGCACTCCTTGGCCATAGCGGCCAGTGACATCTCCCTCCTGGACGCCGAGCCCGCCCCCCTGACAGTGTACATCCAGGGGCTGAGACCCACCCCCGAGGGCAACCTGGAGATCGTTCTGCGCAAATGGTAGGTGTGCCCTCTGCCCTGGGGTTGGGGGCCAGCGAGGGCCTGGCTCCTGGACGGGCAGGTGGGCGGGCAGGTGGGCGGGCAGGTGGGTGGGCAGGGCAGGGTGCTGATGGGAGCTGGCGCCCTGTGGGTGGTTCCCGGTGCCTCGGAGCCCCCGCCCCGAGCTCTGGGCCAACAGGCCGACCACACAGGGCGGCCCCAGGTCAGTGTGCAGAGAGGCCCGTGTGGAGGCCGGCCGGTCAGCTGTGGTGCTGGGGTCCCGGGGGCCTGGGCAGGTCCTGCCGCGAGCCCTGTCTGCTATGAGGGACCATAGCAAGGACAGCTCAAGTTCAGTATCACCCCCCAATGCTATCACCACCTTTCAGGGAAAACAACAGGTGTGTTGAGAAGAAAGTCTTTGCAGAGAAAACCGAGCATGCAGCCAAGTTCAACATCAACTGTGAGTGTCTCCAGCCCCGTGGGCTGGCTCTGAGCTGCACACCACCCACAGCTGTCCCTGGGAGGCTGCTGTCCTTGCCGGTGGGAGCGTGAGGTACGAGAGTGCTCGGGGCTGCCTGGCTCTGGCTCGGGGAGCACTCCGCCCAAGCCCTGGGCCACGAGCCCCTCTCTCTCTCTCTCTCTCTCTCTCTCTCTCTCTCTCTCTCTCTCTCTCTCTCGTGTGTATGTGTGTGTGTGTGTGTGTGTGTGTGTGGTCACGCAGCCCAAGGGGAGCTTCCTCCCCCACGATTGTTCTCGGAGCCTCTTTGGGCCCACACGGAGTAGGGCCACGGCCCGCTCTCTCTGGACAGCTGCAACTCACGCCTCGCGCTGAGCTCCTGGACTCCGCCGCATGAGGGGGATGCAGAGCGCCTTTTTGTACTGCATTCTCTGTCACAAACTGCAACCTTCGCGGGGGCAGGGGGTGGTTGTGAATTATAAAAAACACAAATGGAGAACAAGTGGTAAAATTGAAACAAAGGATGCACACAGATTTCTTCTGGGTGTTCCCGCAGCAAATTCTATTTGTTTCTCACACTTAAGACTCGCTCTGGGCCACCCTGACCTTGCTTGTCGTCTCCCGAACCCGTCACGCTCCAGGGCCTGGGTCTGCTGCCCCTTTGCTCGTCATACCTCCCCCTCACCTCCCCCTTACCTCCAGCTCCTCCCTGCCATGCCGGAATGCTTAGCTGCCGCTCTCCTGCTCCAAGCCTCGCCTCCTCCCCTCTGCACACCCCCCCGCGCCTGACCACTACACACCTGGCCGGCCACACACCGGGCCTCTCACCTTCAGTGGGGTCTTTGTGTTCCACCACCCTGCCTCTCCTCTCCCTCTCCTCTCCCGCTGCCTCTGGCCATGCCTACACCTGTGCCACCCCATGGGGGCTGCAGGACAGGGGTCCAGGTGACTGCAGGAACGCCCACCAGCACCCGGGAGGGATGCTCCTGCTGCGCAGGACTCCGTCTTCACCTTGGTCCTTCTCTTCTCTCCCAGATCTGGAGGAGAACGAGGCCTTCGTGCTCGACACGGACTACGAGAACTACCTGTTCTTCTGTGTGGAGAACACGGACGCCCCCGAGCAGAGACTGACGTGCCAGTACCTGGGTACGCACTGGCGATGCCCGAGGCCACCCCGAGTGGAACGGTGGCTAAGGACCCTGGCCGGCGCCTTGGGCACCCAGGGAGCAGACTGTGCAACATCCTACTGGCCTGAGGGCCCGGGGGTGGCCAGTTTTTCTCTAGGGGTGGCTAAGTCCACTCACATTGCCTCAGAAATCGGGGAGAAAGGAGCCAGAAGGAAGGCTGCTGGGTCAAGGGGCTGCACTTAGTGCTACTGGCTTGGTCAAAAGATTAATACTAATTGGAAGCTTTTGTTGGTAGTAATGTTCTTAATGAAATGCAAGCCAGTAAAACCTGATGGCACAAGGCAGAGACATTCCTGGTTTGCCTGAATGAAGGCCTTTCTGAGGGGTTATATGCACATATCCTTGGTCAGCACACCAGCTATGCTGGCTGAGACCTGACAGCCGAGGGTGCTGGGCCCCCTCCTCCTGTCCACACACCGTCCCAGGAGGAAGGGGGTGGGGGCACAGGGACCTTGGTGCCCAGGGACTCACCCACCGCCCCCCGCAGCCAGGACCCTGAAGGTCGACACCGAGGTCATGGGGAAATTCAACAGAGCCCTCGAGACTCTGCCCGTGCACATCCGGCTCTTCTTCAACCCGATGCAGGCGGAAGGTGATCACCTCCACACCCCACGTCCCCGCTTGCACTCCACGTGGGGCTCACCCACCAGACAGCCACGAGCGCTGGGCCCAGCCGTCTCCCACGGTGGCCCCCATTCCCCAGGCCCCCCAGCTTAGGGGGGGGTGGGAGGTGCAGAGCCCCTGAGGCGGGGTCTCCGGCCCCACCCCCTCTGCCACGCCCCTCCGGGCCCAGGGCTGTCCTGGCGACTTGTGACCCCCCCTCACGGCTCTCCCTCCCCCCACAGAGCAGTGCCACGTCTAGGTGAGCTCCTGCCTGACCCGCCTCCTGGGGTAACGTACCAGCCCTGCCCCCACGTCCTGGGCACGTGCACGGTGGGAGGCGTCCCAGGGGACCCCCAGCTCCCCTCCGCCGGGCCCTGGCCCCTCTGCAGGAATGGCTGGGACCTGGTGTCCCTCCTGGTGACCACGGGGGCCAGGCTGGCCGCGGGCCCACTCTCTCCAGTGGCCTTTCTGGGATGTCCTCCTTGTGTCCCGGTCAAGCTCCCACGCAGATGCCCCCATGGCCTCTTCTGGGCAAGGGTGTGGGCAAGCGTGGGGGGCTGGTGTGGGCCGACCACCACTCAGCCTGAGGTGGAGAGGCCGTCCCTCACCCCCCACCTGGGAGGGGCAGGCGAGGGCCCAACAGGCTCCCCAGGAATCACAGGGAAGCCCGCGTCCGTTTCAGGTCCCAGAGACGACATCGTCCGCTCCCTCCCCCTTCAGAGGAATCAGGAGGGACCAGGCCCCAGGTCCTGTGGGACCCGCTCCTCCAGGGGACGGGGTCCTCGGGGCGCCAGCCTGGGGTGCCCTGCTCTGAGCCACTCCTCCCGCAGCAATAAAGAACTCAACCAGCCAGCAGTCCGTCTGGGTCTTTCTTGGTCGATGCGTGCAGGATGCGCGGCTCGGGGGGTGAGGCGCGGGCGGGG